CTCAGGCCTCACCAAGCTTTTTATAGTGAGAGGTAAACAAGGTAGTGGTTACCAAAGCTACACTGTTCTTGTGAGTTTCACTTGTTTTGACCATGGTTACACTTCCTGCACTTCCTCAGCCCATTAGCTTCCCAGATAAGATCTAGGGAGTGTTATAAGGTCAAGCCTAATTATGCTAAGAGGACTGTGCCCTCTAAGCTAGGACTTGTGACTTTGCCAGCAGGTCAATCTGAGGCTCAACCCTGTATCAGTTTCCCACATCTCTCTCTCTCCTTCTTCCTTCCTCTCTAAAATCAGTAAGACTTTTTTAAAAAAAGTTTTTTTAAAAAGATACTTGGAAATATTTATCACCTAAAAGATCCTTTATGGTGATCTTCTCTTTATTAATTTAAAATGTTTAAATAGTTTGTTTCTATAAATTGGTGGAGTATGTTGACCAATCCCACTAATCCTCAAAGTTAACAACTTGCTTCTAAACACTGAATTTCGTGAACTCAGAGCAAGGATTTTGATAATTTGACTAAGTACATACTTGAGAGATTAACAAGGTGGGGCTTTTTGTTTTATTTTATTCTCCATCCCCAAAGTGAGCATTGCTAGAATTATCTGTGTGTCATTCCTTCTTGGGTAGCAGATTAATTTTCAGGTTTTGACGTGGCTTGTGTTCCTTTTTGCATTTTTGCAGTTTGAGCCAATTGCCTGTTATTCCATATGGCAAGCTGGGTACTACTTGGCTTGGAACCCAGGTGCAGCTTTGCATTTGTATTTATATCAGTGAAATATTCACCTTTTATTTGGTTGCCATTTGCCTTCATAGAAAGCTCAGAGTCACAAGCCAAAGCATATTAATATTGGAAAGGATATGTATCAGTCAACTGGCCTAAAACGCTATCTCAGCTAGGACTGCACCAGGGCACAGTGGGGATAAGATTCATTGACCCTGAGGGTATATATTAAAAAGCCAGGCCCAAAGCTAATTTTTTGCTTCTCAAAAAACAACAACAAAACTTCCAGTGTCAAGAGCTCTGAAGGGTTAGCCTGCCAGTTTCAGGGGCATTGGTGACAGAAGACAGAAGAATCTTGGTTCAGAGGCAAAGGACTTTATTGCTCAGAGCGGTGTTAACATAAAAATCTGTAAAGAATTTTTGTGAGTTTATTTGAGCCAAACTGTCAACAATTGCTGGGAGTTGGGATAATGCTCTAGGCAGCGGTTCTCAACCTGTGGGTCACGACCCCTTTGGGGGTCAAACGACCCTTTCACAGGGGTCGCCTAAATACATCCTGCATATCAGATATTTACATTATGATTCATAACAGTAGCAACATTACAGTTATGAAGTAGCAACGAAAATAATTTTATGGTTGGGGATCACCACAACATGAGGAACTGTATTAAAGGGCCGCGGCATTAGGAAGGTTGAGAACCAGTGCTCTAGCGAATAGAGGTTTTTTTTCCATCTATTTTTATACATTGCAATCAAAGGAGGGGACATAGGTGGGTTACATGAAATCCATTGGTGGTAGATTAGAGAGGCGGGAGAAAGCAAAGCGGGAGGGTGAGGGACCTCTGGGATTGGATAGAAAATAAAATGATGGACACATACTTATGTGGGTGCAGGATAGTTAACAGTCAACAATGAACATGATAACAATAACAATGAAGGAATTTGTGGTATCTGTCCTGGCACCCAGGCACATTAGGTTGTGTGCCCCAAGGGGTCAGGAAAAAGGGAAGTTACAAGTTACCCAGACATTTCAAAGATATGTTATCATAGATGCAAAAAGATAGATAGGCTCAGTTAAGGTAAAGGTTGACTATGTCAGTGAAGATATGGGCCTAGGACATAACTGCTTTTAGTTAAAGTTTAATTTCAGACCATGCTTTGTGGTTACTTTAGGCCTCTGAGTTTGCAAGGCCTTCCTTGCAAACTGCCATGCAGGCCTTCCTTGAGCTTGTCAGGTTAGCATGTGGCCCTTTCTTCCACAACAGCAAGCAGCACAAGCATCATGTCCTGATTGGTACTCTCTGCCCCCCACTCTCCACCCTCCAGCCCCAAATAATATGAAGTCATCCAGACAGATGCCATGCACACAGAGGCTTTGCCTCACAGCTGAAAATCTCTGAGCTTAAGAAACCCACCTTTGTCCTGGCTGGAGTTTCTCAGTGATTAGAGTATCGGCCCATTAGCTGAAGGGTCTTGGGTCTGAGTCCCAGTCAAGGGCACATACCTGGGTTGCAGGTTTGATCCCCAGTCCCCGTTGGGATACATGCCAGAGGCAACCAATTGATTTGTCTCTCTCACATCTCTCTGTCTCCCTGTCTCTTTCTCTCTCCCCCTTCCTCCTCTCTCTCTCTCTCTCCCTCTATATCTCTCTCCTCCCTTCTTTCATTACCCCTAAAAATCAATGGGAAAAAATATCCTTAGGTGAGAATTAACAAAACAAAAAAAATAAGAAAGAAACCCAACCTTTGACTAGAGGAAGAGATGCTCTTTATTATATTGTAGAAAGAATAAACTTGCCTCTGCTTCAGTGGGAGACATTATCTGTCTTCCAAGACCCTTGGCTGTATAAACATCCTTGAAAAGATCATCTGGACCCTGGCTGGTAGTTCAGTGGGTTAGAGCATCATCCTGATATGCCAAGGTTTCGGGTTTAATCTCTGGTTAGAACACATACAAGAATCAACCAGTGAATACATAAATAAGTGGAATAACAGACTGATGTTTCTCTCTCTCTCTCTCTCAAATAAAGATCATCTGGAACAAAAGCTGTCAGTGTCTCTGCCCCAGAGATACACAGAAATGGGAGACCTATGGAGAATTATCTCTGAACACTTAGCTGCCCACATAAAGACTATCAAACACAGCATCCTTTCTTTGGCTCGCTCTAAGATGAATCAGGGAATAAATACATAGTACATGAGTGTCAGGTTATGTATAATACACTTAGCAACCTTCGAATCTTAATTCTCTAGTCCTCTTCTGCCTCTTCCCTCATGCACCTGTAGTTTCATGGAACTACTTGGGGTTCTCTGCTTTATTCTCTTCCCTTCCCTTCACCTAGCTAACTTTCTTTTAAATGCCACCTTCTCCTGGAAGCTCTCCCTCCCCCTCCCCCTTAGGTGTTTCTACTTTGTCCTCCTCTATACACCTTATAACAGCCTCAAGCTAAAAGCAGAAAATCAAAAGTCACAAACCTATCAATTTTGGACTCTGACCCTACCTGAAATCATAGCAGGTCCAGACACCTCTCTGCCCCTCCCAGGAGTCTCGGATTTGTTGATGCACCTGTTCCCTCAGTAGACACAGGGGAATGGGTAGTCATTTCCCTCCATTTTCGCTCCGCCTCCCTGCAGAGCTGTCTGCAGTGAGTTCCCAAGTCAAGGCCACTAATGCGGGTGCAGGAAGGCCCTCTGTGGCATCCCTGGTACGCAGAAAAGGCGAAGGCGTGGCCTGCTATTGCTGCAGAAGCTACCAGCACCCAGTGCCTCTTCCCTGGACAGGGTCTTGCAGGCCAGGGCAGGGGAAGCTGCGTTTCTTTGCTGGCCTGGAAGATGGGTCCAAAGGGAAGAGCCAGCCACAGTGGAAGGTGAGCTCTGCCTCATAAGGTAAGAGGTTCCACAAATACAGAAAAAGTGAAGAAAAAGAATAAAAATGTTCAATGCAGTATCCTTTGGGCTGCCCCCAAATCAGCACATATCCTTTTGCCATAGAGTATCTTTTTAACATGCTTTCACAACATTGGTCACCATCCGCTATGGACGGGCAGTATCTTATCCCTTACAATTAACTGGTATTTGCTACCTGGAAAGTGATCCAGGCACTATAATGAGTCTCAGATTTCCTTCTCTTCCTTCCTTATTTTCCCTAATGGTCTCTTTGTGATAACTACTTCAGGGTATGAATTTCCTCATCAAGCAGGGTTCTTAAAGATACAACAGAAACTAAATTTGGCTAATTTAAAAAGAAAATGAATTTACTAAAGGATAATGGATAGTTAGTAAAATCTCCAGGAGGGTGGAAAAACCAATTCATACCGCTGAACTAGAAGCATAAAGACTCTACTAACACAGCCTGTGGGCACAGACCCTGCAGCTAACAATGCCAACCTCACCAAGCTGCCATACTGCCACCCTCAGTCTTGGCTTCCTCGTGTGACTCACTTAATTCAAAATCTAGGGTGGGTCATATTATCAGTGCCCTGGTTGCAAGAAAGGCTAGAAAATGATTACCTCTGGGAGCCACCCTTGCTGGGAAAAATGGTTTCAGTTCATGCGGTGGTTCTATTTAACGGGGCAAGGTAAGAAGCAGCAGTGTCTCCCAACCTCCTGCTAGGAGTCCATTCATTGAAAAGCAGTGCAAGGTAGAATTAGAACCCAAGGTTTCAGGATCCAAGTTCAGTTTTATTTCTGAGACAAATATTTCTCACTCTGACTGGTTTGGCTCAGTGGATATAGGGTCAGCTCATGGACTGAAGGGTCCAGGTTTGATTCTGGTCAAGGGCATGCACGGTTGCAGGCTTGATCCCTAGCCCTGGCTGGAAAGCATGAAGGAGGCAACAAATCAATGTGTCTCTCACATCGATATTTCTGTCTCTCCCTCTCCCTTCCACTCTAACAATTAATCGAAAAATATCCTGGGGTGAGGATTAACAACAACAAATGACAAATATTTCTCTAAAATTATCATCTTCTTTATCCCTATATAATGGTTTCTTCAGTTCAGACTATTAATCAGAACATTTCTTTTTTATTTTATTTTTTTAAATATATTTCATTGATTTTTTTACAGAGAGGAAGGGAGAGGGAGAGAGTGATAGAAACATCAATGATGAGAAAGAACCATTGATTGGCTGCCTCCTGCACGCCCCCTACTGGGAATCAAGCCTGCAACCCAGGCATAAGCCCTTGATCGGAACTGAACCCAGGACCCTTCAGTCCGAAGGCCGACGCTCTAACCACTGAGCCAAACCAGCTAGGGCCAGAACATTTCTTTTTCTCAAATGCTGCCCCTTTCAGTTCATTTGGCTTTGAAGTTATTTCTGGAGCAGGTGCTGGAGCTTGGGGAACAATTTCAATGCATTCTGTGTTGTCACTTCCATCACTTCTTCCACTGAGATTCCTTTCACCTGGGCAATATATTCTGCTGAGATGGTAATGTTTTGGGGTTCATTCCGTACCTGAAGGAGAACAGAGCAGACACGAAATCAAACATGATTGTCAAAAGAAGCAATCCTTGAAGACTGTGGATAAAATAGAAGAAAATGAGTTGGTAAACACAGCCGATGAGTGCTTTTTTTAATGGGGGTGGGGGATGGTGGGAGGCAATAAGGGGAGAAAGTCTTGAACTTCAGCTTAGAAGCTATAGCTACACACTGACTGTAAGTTTATGTTGCTCTTGAAAAGGGCCGTGGGGTATTAACAACTGAGGTCCCAGCATCTAGCAGTCTGCAAACAGTGGACACTTGGCAACCTGCATGACCGATGGGTTAGCCGTCCTTTGGTTTATTGCTTAACTGAGTGATTGTAAAGGTCACTGTTCTGCTGCTTGGCCCCTTCACCTCACAGGCTACAGACATTACAGTTTGATCCAAGAAATGTCACCATACACCTTCAAGAAGTACCAGTACATATTTGGACGGCTAAACAGATACGTACTGGTACTTCACTGAGTCTAAGATGTATTTCCCTCCTATTTTAACATCTCTGAAATTGATTCATATTTTACTTGGATTCAATGAATGTCATTGTATAATTGGCAGTGTTTTGTTTTGTTTTCCATTCTAATGGTCACAAAACAGTGGTGCATCTATAATCATTTAGATTGTACATTTAGATTTGGTGAAATGTATTACTGTTATTAAGTTATCTACTTAGGATGATGATATTGAGAGGAATAAGATGTCTATTAAGTTTAAGAAAAATAACCTGGTAACATTCATCAGATATAATTGTGTTGAGAACAACCCAAATCACAATATCAAGTTAAATATACTATGGTAGATTCACACACTGGAATATTATACACTTATTATACTTGTACTAGAAGAAATAGAGCCTCATTATAACAATCTAATTAAAAGGAGAAAAATAAACATTTATTGAGCATCTTACTATATACCAGATACTGCTAGATACATTACTCCATTTAATTCTCATTATAATACTTCAAAGAATTTGCTATTTTGCTTACATTTTATAAGTGAAGAACATTTCAGAGACGTTAGTAACTTGCTCAAAATCAAACAGCTAGTGTGTAGCAGAGACAGGATTCGAATCCAGGTCTTTCTGACTCTTGACATTGAGCTTTTTGCTATACTGGTCTGGCTTTCACTATCACATAGGTGAGGACATGGTCCATATCAAATAATATTCTTTGGGGCATAACAATTATATTTAGAAAAGACCTGAAATTAAGTTGATATAACCTCTCAACCTAGCGTTAAAATAGGATTCCATTGTACTTACACTGTGATGAGAAACAGACAAATCAAAAATAGCTCAAATGAAAGACACAATCTAAATCAAGCATATCAAATTTGCGGCTGGTGGGCCCCAGGCATGCCAAGGCTGCGAGTTTTACATGCTTGATCTCAATCATGTGGAAAACAGAAAATGACTTACCTGTTTTTCTGGTCCTAGTGCAGGTGAGTCTGTTTCCAAGCAAATGGAGGTTAAAGGCAACTGTCTCACAAGTTTCTGCTTCTTAGAGAAAAGAAAAAGCTAGTAAGTTTAAAAAAGGAGTAATAAAGAATTTTCAAAAAAAAGAACATTAAACCCACATGCCAATGCATTCTATTCTGCAAGAGCCTAAAATGCATGCTTCAATATTCAATTGATACATGCTCACTACGTTCTCATCCTATTAATACTAACAGGTTTAAATAGCAACATTCATTGCCAAAAATTATCCAGAGACTCCAGGGACCCAGGGAGTAGTAACCAAAAGCACAGCCAGCAAGGAAGTCAGACACCGGATATCACCATCCCACTGAGAGATCTCAGGAAGAGACTTCTGTTGCTTCTCCACCACACTCAGTGCTTCTTTCTACTGTTCACTTTAAACCTCTCAGGCTTTCCGATATAAATCCAAAGTTCATATGCACGTTTTAGATTAGGTGGTAGATGGTTTTACTTTCTTATTTTTAATTTTCTGTCTGGATTATAAGGATTGCAATGAACCCAATGAGTTTTATACCAAGAACGTAATTATTTTGCTGCCAGTGCACTGTTAAAGTAAAAAATGGCAGGGAGACACATGATGCAGAGTGGAATATTATTAGAATGAACTGTTTGAAGATTAAAATTTCAGAGGCACAGAAATAGGTATGCTCATGCACTGCTGGTAGATAAGAGTCAAACTAGCATAAACTTTTTAAAGAAAATGTAACAGTTTAACCAAATTTTAAAAGGTACACCCTTTCCTCAGTGATTCCATTTAGAGGGAAAACTGCGCAAGTGTGCATATGTATGCTGTACAAAGGTATTCACTCAGGCACTGTTTATAACAGTGAAAACTTAGAAACAGTCTAACCTTTACTTAAAGTAATGCTTAAATAAATTATGGTACATCCACATTATGAAATATCATACAACCATTTTAAAGATGAGATAGGTCCATATTTATTGATACAATTAGACACCCATGAAGCTAACTCAAAACAAAAAGAATAAGATTATCTTCTTATTTTATCTGAATTAATGTTAACAATGATTGTTCCTGAGTTGTAGAATCTGGATTAATTTAAAATTTGTTCTTTTCTGAAGTGATTCAATTTTCTATAATGTACAAATTATTATCTTTAAATGTATTTTAGCTTTGAAAAAGAAACATGCGACAGCTAAAGGTTACTACTAAATAAGAAGTTTTTCCACAAAAGCTAGAAATAGGAAAAATAAAAATAATCTTGGACTATAAAGTGACATGTGTAGAACACTCCATCTTATAATAGCAGAATGCACATTCTTTTGAAGTGTGTATGTTCTCTTCACCAAGATAGATCATATTCTGGGCCATTAAACAAACCTCAACCAATTTAAAAGAGGTGAAATCATACAATGAATGTCTCCTGAACACAGTCAAATTTAAAGTAGGTATCAGAAATGGAAAGATATCAGGAAAATTCCCAAGTATTTGGAAATTAACAATACACTTTTAAATAGTCACTATGGTCAAAGAGGAAGTCTCAAGGTAAATTAGAAAACATTATGAACGGACAGAAAGTGAAAATACAGCAAAGATCACAAATAAACCTATGACCATATCCATACTTATACTAGAAGAAACAGAGCCTCATTATAACAATCTAATTAATATCTGTGGATTGTAACTACATGTGGTTAGTGCTAATGCAACTATTGCATTAAATATCTTTATTAGAAAACAAGGAAGGTTTCAAATAATCTAAGGTTCTACCTAAGAAACTATAAAAAGGATAATATATTGTCAAAAAAGTATTTGACAGAATCCAACATCCATTTTTGACAAAAACACTCAGCAGACCAGAAACAGAAGGAACTTCCTTAAACCCTATGAGAAACCTGCAGCTCATAGTACACTTAATGGTAAAGGAATGAATGTTTTTCCATGATCAGGAAAAAAAGGCAAGGGTTTCTGCTTTTACTATTTCTATTCAACATTCTACTAGCTGTATCCAGTGAAATAAGGCAAGAAAAAGAAATAAAGGGCACAAATATTGGAAGGGGAAAAGTAAATACCTTTAGTCAAAGATGACATGATTATCTACATAAAAATCCTGAAAAATCTACAAAACACTGCCAGCACTAATGAATAATCAGCAAGGTCACTTGATAAAAGTTTAATATAGAAAAATCAACTGTATTTCTATTACTAGCAATGAATAATTGACAACTAAAATTTTAAAACCAGTACCATTTAAAATAGAATGAAAAATATGAAATACTTAGGGGTAAATATAACAAAATATGTGCAGGATTTGTATAATTTGTTGAAAATTATAAAACATTGATGAGAGAAATCAAAGATCGAAATAAAGAGGTATGGTGTGTTTATATCAATTATTCCCAAATTGAGCTATGGATTCAATGTAATTCCAATAAAAATCCCAGCCAGTTTTTGTTTTGTTTTTTAAAGAAATCAAGCTGATTCTAATGTAGATGGAAAGGCAAGGGACTTAGAATAGCCAAAATGATCTTGAAAATAAAAAAATAATTGGAATTCTCATACTATCTGATTTCAAAACTTGTTATAAATCTAATGTAATCATGATGATATTGACATAAGGTAGGGACTTAGGATTGATTTTTGTAATATAACTAGAATAATATCACAAGTGTTATATATAAGTATCTATTACATATAAAATATAGAAACTCTTATTTTAAAGTGTATTTCACAAAGTATAGGTGGAAGTTTAATGAAAGAATTTACCTGTCCACTCCTTATGATAGAAGGAGGGATCGAGAAGAAGTACCCAGCTTTTACTCCTTCCATGGCTACGGATGGCCGACCATCAAATGCATGGAGCAGCACTTTGTCAGCACCTCTCAAAAATAAAAGATAGATCAGAATTCCAATTTATGTCCTCAACGAGAGGTTTTTCCATTAATCAAATTGAACAGCACAGATCAGAAATTTGGTCATTGTAATATAAATATGAGGTTCTATGACTTCTAAAGGAGGGATAAATATATAGTGTTCAAACAGTAGAATAAAAATATAATACATTCTTCACTTTCAGAATAAAATAAAATTATTAAATAAAATGGAAATATAAAATTTTAAACAATTATGGAATCTTCCTATACCATCAAACATTTTCCAGAGGTTTGTGAACTGTCAGATTATTGTTCCTAATAGGAGGTTTTTAAGCAATCAAATCGTCCTCAGCGAGAATGCGAGTGTAAGAGGAAATGGGGAGCTAAGTGAGCCACAAATTGACTAATCCGCATTAGCTTCATAAAATCGCCTCTGGTTCTTAAAGAATGGCTGCTCGGCCTGCGTACAAATCATGCTCTCAGTGATCCCAAAGGGTTCGGCGCTCATCACTGGGAAATACCATGCTTTCTAGATGTAGGCAAGCACATTTACTTCACTATTTGATCCTGTTTTTCAAATGGCAGGTATGACCCTTAGTGGGTTATAACCACAAGTGAGTTATGAAATCAATCTAGTGGGTCAAGACTGACCAGTGTATACACATACTTTTATTACCAAAAAAAGTATATATGTGTGTATATTAGTATCACTTCAAAAAGTTTGAAAAGTAATGCTATAAGATACATTTTTTATTTTAGGACTATCAATCACTTAATCCAATTTTTCATTTGTTTTACCCTGGCAAATGATTGTAAATATCACAGTCACACTGAAAACCTTGTAAAAAGTAGACTGACTTTGTAAAACCACTTTAGTTGACTTCCCCTTTCCACATTCCCCTATTTCCTTTGGTTTAAGAAACCATACTAAAACATGGCCTGTTCTATGAGAAGATGGACTGGAATACCAAACGTAAACGTCAGGCGCATTTGTCTCAGGAATCTAAATACCTTGCTCATTTAAGAGGCTGATGGTGGGTCTTCCAGCTGAACGTGAGTGAACATTTCTGTTTAACAACAAAAAAATTCCTTTTAATGTGACATTATTTTGTTCTATTAAAGTAATGAAGAGAAAAAGAAATATAGAGCTCCATTTCAAAAGAATCATTTTAATTTGCTCTATAGCTATTAATATAGGAAGGTGGTTAATTAACCTACAAAGGTAAATTTAGTCTTTTGGCTAACTGGACCTGTCTGATTAGGACTTGTCTTTGCTCTTCCTTTTGTGCATCAGTGCCAGCAAATCTGGGGGAGAAATCCAGTCCCACCTATAACAGAAAAGTCAAACAGAATTACATTTTTCATGGTTTAATGAACCCCCAAAGTCATACTATGGAGCAGTACTGTCCAAGAGAAAGATAATGGGAGCCATATGTGCAAGCCACATATATAACTTCACATTTTCTAGTTAGCCACATTAAAAACACTAACAAGAAATGGGTGAAATTAATTTTAATATACTTTGCTTAATCTGGTATACCCCCAAACATTATCATTATTATTATATAGTAATGATATAATTACTATGCATTATTTCAACACATGATCAATATAAAAATTATTGAGTTATTTTATATTCTTTCTTTCGGGTGCTAAGACTTTGAAATCCTCTGTGTGTTTTATACTTAGAGGACATCTCAATCTGGACCAGTCACATTTCAAGTGCTCAACAGCTACATGTGGTCATCACAGCGAACAGGAAAGATTATAAATGACTGCTTTCCTTGATATATTTTGGCATACATTGTTATAATCTATATTCTGAATTTAACTGTTATTCTTATCTTTATCTTTAATTAGAAGTGGAATTTATTACCAAGTGATAAAAATGTTTTACAACTGTAATTTAATAAAAATGTTCTTTGACTACACTCTAGCAGCTAGCCTCTTTAAAGTATGCTTTGTATATACTACTTTAACTAGAGAGATGACCCATATTTAAGCAAAAAAAAAGCATAGTATATAGAAATGATAATAAAGTATTAATATAAGCCTATGATGAGGCTTTCTATTGTTTTATCCCCAAGCTCTTTTGCTTATTGAGGACGTATTGATGAGTTATTATTCAGCTGGATGGGGTGAACATAATTATCCAAGTTAGTTATAATCACCAATATTGAATTAAAGATTCTTTTCATATATCACATGAAAGTCTGAATCAGAAGTCATTTGATCAGTTAATGGGTGTTTACCTCTCCAATTGCCAATAATCGATCCTTATAATTCTCAATAATGGGCAAAGCTACATCCAAATCCTGGGAGAAAACAAAGTAATTTGTTAAAACAGACGGAGAAGGAAACTGATATTTTATAAATACCTATTAAATGCCAGGCACTATGCTGTATTGGTTCTTTACATATATTCTATTCTGTTAACCAGTTGAGGAACTAGGAATAGTAATCCTAGAACAGTGAGTACTTCTATCTGGATAGTATCCCATATCTATTCAGGTCACAGGAATCAAACTGTTTATAAAGATTCACACTTAAACACTTTCTTCTGTTTAGGAGGCATTTCCTAGCATTTAGAAGGACTGATCTGATTTCCTGGAATAGCTGAGCAAGAGAGAAGAAAGCCACCTTTGTAAGTGAGGTTTGGGGAGTGCATTATGTTATGTTCTCCTTTTAGGGTAACATTGGTTTGTGAGTTTGTCATAGTGATAATCCCATACACTCTTTGTACACTTTGCACTGATTTCTTTTGTCTTGATAATCCTGTTTAGCCTATTTTTGTTCTACAGGTTCAACAATGTAAACACTAAGTATCATATATGTGCTTGTCTGTAATCATTGAAGTAACTGTGTACCATTAGTTTCCACACTATTACTATTACACTTAGAGAATTTGCCCTCTGAGGTTTCCCTTGTCAGACAAGGGAAAGGCAAATATGTAGAAAATTTGCTTCTTTTAAAATACCTTGAAGATTGTTGTCTCAGGATATGTAGGTTGCAAGGTACCTCTGAGGATAGTTCAGGTTGCAGTTCAAATGTCACCGCCTCAGACACGCCTTCCTTGACTACACAATCTAAAAACTAGCATCCACAATCCCTATCACATAATCTTATTTTATTGTCTTTAAAGCACTTAGTGCTACCGAAAGTTTTCATGTTCATGTATCTAATTGTTCATTGTCTGCCTCCATCTAGAACCTACTTTCATGAGAGGGATATTACTCTAAAGTGCTTGGAATGCAGTAGGAGCTCAGTACACACTTGGTTGACTAACGAAATGAATGCTTATTGCTATAAATCTCTACATAAATGAAACAAATGCCATCCTGCTATGATCCCCAACATTTTTGGAATTGTAACTCTCTGGGGAAATTTTATCACATCAACAACTCAGGAGAGTTACAGAATAAGTATTTATTTTTACATGAAGTTGAATTCAACGTAATTTTGTTACAAAATAAGTAGAGCTACTTAGGGTATTCAAATGTAGGGATACAGATTCATTATTACGAAAGAATGGACCTCATCTCTTCATTTATTCATAGGTAACACAAAGTCTTCACTTCTTCAAAATGGGGCTGTTGATCCCAATATGTAATAAAGCACTTAAGAAACTGTGCATCTCCCCAATGCTGAGTCAGGAGTCAAGGCTATGGTGAGTCAGTGATATCTCATGGGTAGGATCTTTTTTTTTTTTTTTAAATATATTTTATTGATTTTTTTACAGAGAGAAAGGGAGAGGGATAGAGAGTTAGAAACATCGATGAGACAGAAACTTCGATCAGCTGCCTTCTGCACATTCCCCATTGGGTATGTACCCGCAACCAAGGTACATGCCCTTGACTGGAATCGAACCTGGGACCCTTGAGTCTGGAGGCCGACGCTCTATCCACTGAGCCAAACCGGTTAGGGCTAGGATCTTTTTTAGAGAGGGTATGAAAGCCATGCAGTTTAGTAGATCAAGATCACTCCTATAAGGATGGTTCAACATTCAAAGATACTGTGTACTTAAGCTCATCTATTCTCTCACAGTATTGCATCTATGAATTTGTATCTTTCTTTCTCTGGATACTTTATCACCTTTCTGCCAAATCAATATAACAATGTGATAAAAAAAAAAAGTAAAAACAAATCACATGTAATTCTATAAGACTGTCACAACTACTATCATTTCTGTTTTTCTTTACAGTCTTTTCCTTATAGGATATATTTTTACATGATGCCACTCATTGTGAATAAACCGTCTGTATCCTGCTTTTCTCCCTATATTATACTGCAAACATTTTCCATGTTACTACATACATCTTATAGTCTTCATTTTTAAAAAAATATATATTTTATTGATTTTTTACAGAGAGGAAGAGAGAGGGATAGAGAGTTAGAAACATCAATGAGAGAGAAATATCTATCAGCTGCCTCCTGCACACTCCCTACTGGGTATGTGCCTGCAACCAAGGTACATGCCATTGACCAGAATCGAACCTGGGACCCTTGAGTCCGCAGGCCGACGCTCTA